CTCGCCTCTCGTTTTAATTTGATAAAATCCTGAATGAATTCCTTGTGGAGACACGTTTAGCAATTATCCCAAGTGGCGACACTTGGGTTTATTTTATTTTTTTTATTATTTATCTGCTGCTTTCTTTATTTTTTTTTCTCCGCAGAGATCGCCCCAAACTACGAGTTTTACAAGAACGCAGACGTCAGGCCGCCGTTTACTTATGCAACCCTCATCAGGCAGGTGAGTGGGAAATAAATTAGCTTTAGCCTGATTAGATTGTAATTAATTGCTGCTTGAATTAAATCTGGGTGAGAGCGCCTCGACGTACTCCAGTTTCTAACGCGCCGCTTAATGGCATCTCATCGCAGGCTGTCATGGAGTCAGGTGACATGCAGCTAACGCTCAACGAAATCTACAGCTGGTTCACGCGCACCTTCGCCTACTTCAGACGCAATGCCGCCACCTGGAAGGTAATGTGCTACGGAGGCCTGCAATGGACGTGGGCCGATTAACAGCAATCGCGCCTCTTTTTAACCTGCCTCCTGAAAAGGACGAATTCTCTCTTTATCTCGCTCTTGCTCACTCTCTCTGTGACAAGTGAAAGAATAATTCAGCCTCTGATATCGTTTTCTAATTTGGTGCAATTAATAGCCGAGTCTTGACGGGGAGGTGTGCGCTCTGACGCACTAATTACTAACCAGCCACTCAATCATCAGCACCTTTTGTTAGACATGGCGTATTACCGCTTTCTCAGTGTCTCCTTTTCATTTTTTCTCCCTCCCCACCCTGCATATTATTGGTTAATTAATTTGAAAGATGGCTGTTTGCCATGTAGACGCACTCCGCTACATCCCTTTTCTTGTTGTTGTTGATGTCGGCCGAGGCTTCGTACACACTATAACTCATGCAGCAAGACAAAAAGCAAAAGAGAACAAGACAAATGGAGAGAGGGGTTAAGACCCGCTTGGCTCTAAAGCGCTAATGCACCTGTCATCCAGGAAACACACTTTATTCCCCAGTACAAAAGGCCTCATTTGTATCTCTGTCCCAACAAATACATTGTCAGACAGGATGAAAAGAAAAGGAGGATACAATAAAAACCATCCTCTATTTTTAGACAGGAGAGTGCGGTGCGTGTCGATAAGATACACAGCCGTTTTTCCCTTTCTATTTTAACTCCGACGCAGGTCCTCTCAAAGGTTTCTCCAGCTCTCATCAGCATGCGAAGCATTTCCCAGCACTAGATTTAGCAAAGTGAATTAATTTGGATTTGGCTTGCTAATGATGCTGGTGTATGATTACAGCTCCACAAGGGTGTGCAATAGCTCCCCGTACAGATACATGCTGGGCCACGACTCATTTACTGCCGGAGCGTGTGTTTGGAGATGCACGGATGAGCGTTTTTAGCCATTTTATGGCCTTGTAGCCGCATATGCATCCCTGTTTCCAGCTCTCTTCGCTTCTGTCCTTATCAACTCTATATTTTAATCTGGTCCCGACTGGAACAAAGAGGCAAAGCAGGGGCTTTAGGCATATTCGGGTCCCTCCTTCTACAATAGCGGAGCAGGAATTTCCATTCGGAGCCTCCCTGCTCTTTTGTGAGGGCCCGGGCACGGCCGGCTGGTGACGGGCTTGTCATTTGATTAACAGAGAGAATTTTTAAAAAGGAATGAAAGGTGATTTAATATCTGTGCTTGGTCTCATCAGCTCAGCTTGGGGATCGAGCTCTCAGCCCCGCCAGCTTATTAGTTATAACTATATAGCATGCATAATAAAACTGCTCATTTGCTCATTAATATTAAAATTATCATATTCAGAGCCATGGGCATTAAGATCAATCAAATCCTGGGATTTTCAGGTCAGATGC